ATACCTTTCTCTTTATAACGGATTATCTTTCGCTTAAGGAGATTTATTCCAATATCCGCAATAAACGTGCGAATGCAGAAAAAACAGGCCACGTATATGAACATTTTTTGAAATATTTATTATTCTTTTGTCTGTTCCGTTTCTGAATAACGCTTGAGCGGAACGTATTGTTTACAACAACCTATATTTCTACTTGATATACATTCAGTAAGGCCTTCAGTGGGCTGTCTTCGCAATGACATGTAGAAACTTTGTTTACGCGCACGACCAGCTGCGCGGTAAAAGAAAATGTTCTACTAAGAACTTTTTTTACTGCATTTTTGCAAAAAACTGCATTGAATAGCTAAATTAAATTTTTTAAACTTCTATCGCTGCTTGTTTCTGAAAATAAATGCGATTGCTTAAACTTCGCTTTAGTTCCATTTGATCAACTTCGCACAAAATTTTCTAGTACTGGAAGGGATTATTCCACCTTTTCTTACTAATTATGGAATTCTTCTACAGCACACTGTATGTTAGAAGAAACTTCTGTCCTGTCTTTCCTTATAGGATACGGAATTCCTTTTATAAAAACCTACTCATGATTTAGCAAAAATGAGAGCCTATTTCCCCCAAAAACTTTAAATAAGAGGGCAGTTTTCCAAACCAAAGCCCTTCTTACTATTAAACCACTCAGTTGATTAAAATAACATGACCAGATATACGCTAAACTACCAAGTTAAATTTCCTCCTGAAATTTGTTTGCAGGATTCGCAAAACTGCATATTTGAATTTATCAGCACATTAAAAAGCATTCAGAGAAATGCCTTTTTCTTAAGTATACGTCTTATAGTGTTCTTTTGCAGGTAGTCGGAAAAGAAGTTTGTTCAGAAGCCAACATCCTGAATCCGAAGGATTATCTTGGATCTAGGCTGCCTGAGAATAAGCATTAGAAGTGTAATTAAGAATTTTTCTTTGAATCGAACACATGTGCCACAATTTCGATTGCCATTTGACGAGATAGCCAATCTAGTGTAAACCCAGTGCAGACGTCCGTACCAACTTGCCATTATTCTCCCTCTTTCATGACACATGCCATCAGTTAAACCAGCTCAGCCAGTTTAAGTCCGGCCCGTTTAAAGTAATACGCGAGGGGCGACTACCTACGGTTTGTAATCTTGACATCTACGACTTGCTCTTTAATTCTGTTTTGGACTGAAGGATTCTAGAACATGTATGACGGGGCATTGAGTTTTCGCTCAGCAGCGTACTGCCTTCGCCCCCCTAAATATGAGTCACTCACTCCACGCCATTGAAGTATTTTGCCATGTTAAGCCTACGAGCTCTTTCAATCAAGAGCAACAATATGGCCTCCTGATCAACTTTCGTGGAAAAGGTTATTTGTACGAAGTTAAACAAGGGCCGGTTAGGCGAATGTAAACGAAGATGTAAGCACGGAATCTGGGCCCCTCCCCAAAGTATGTTTTCGATGCATGTTTGCAGACAGAATGTCTTTTTTTTCGGAAAACAAAACGTGTTCTCTTTCTCATGTCAGCATCTGCCTTTTCTTCCTGTGCGCAGATAACTGAAGGGTGTCAGCCACAGCCGATTTGGCTTCAGAAAATGCGTCAAATGGAAGGGTGGATGAAACAAAATGGTCATCCCCCTCAGCTTTGGTCATATCATACCAAATTTCATTTAACTCTTTGGTGCATAGTATTTGAGGATAGCAGCTGCAAATGCCCCTATTTGCGGTAGCTTTCGAACGGACCCATACGTCTGCAGCGTTATCGTAGGACTTTGTTCGTGAGAATAGTGTCTTCTCTGGATGTGGGAAACTTGGTGCTGTGTAACTGGAGCTCATCGTTTATACCGAAAACGTAAGACCCAAAGCATATGTTGAAACTTGTGCGATGCTAACTTTTCCTCTTGCCTAAATTTGTTCCGCGTTGATTAGACGCATTGCTTGTGATTTCTTAAATGATCGCACAATCACAGGTGTGTGTATTTAATCACCCATACAATAGTAAAAGTTAAATTGATCGTACACGTTAGGTACACCTAGACTCAAGTTTCTGCTTTAAGCTTCCAATGGTATTATATAATTTAGTTTGCTAATTTAATTTAATTTTGGTTTTCACTCTAGCTTAGCTTGATTTTATATGTTCTACTTATTTAAATATATTTTTCAAAAGTTGGCGGTATTATACTAACATAAAAATTAAACGAAAGCTAATCAAACTAAAATAAACTACCTAAGGTGGACGACCAACTTAAGTGTTACCGCCTACGAATTTCAAACCGGTAATCTGTTAAATGTTTTTGTTTCGTTCGGACAAAAAAATGTTCCGTCTTTGTACGAGACATCAAGTCTTAACAAATATCCCAAACATCTGACACCCTAACATGGAAAACCATTAAATAAAGAAGAGAGCGACAAAGATGTATATATATTTTGGTATTATTATCTTGGAAAGACCGGTGAAAGCTACTGAGATCAGTAAGTCTCCACTTCTTCTTGTTCAAGGATCGCAAGGAGGTAATTGCGGTAATCACCAGTTGTGTCTCCTTGGATCATTTGATACAGACTTATATCGTTTGTGGTGTCGAACGTATGCCTTATGACGGCCAAATCAACCTGAAACAAACAGAAATCTCGATCAAATTGTTGTTCTCATGATGACAGTAATGCCGGTGTATAAGCGCATTTAAAAATAATCTTAAAGTCAAATATTCATACCTCAGAGTGGGCCATGATCAATCGAATAAGGCTGTCATCATGAGTGCCAAGGCCTTTCATTGACCTGTAGAGAATCTCAGCATAGGTCTTATACTTGTCGAGAGCCGTCCTTACTGCAAAAAGTAAGACATATGTTGATACTATCTAGACCAAGTTCAACTGAGAATGGGATTATCGGGTAAGTCGCGGAACTCACCAATTGTCTGAAGAGCAACTTTATAGAAAAGGGATGTTTCGTTGCCAATGGCCGTAAGGAGATCGTGACCGTATTTCTTGAAATGGCATAAAACAACATTAGGTTATTCGTAAAAATGCCTTTGTGTTTTGCAAAGTTAAACTGTATTAATATGCCCTGTCTTACCGCTTTATACAGCTCGTTGAGCTTAACAATGTCGTTCCAGCTGCGTGTGACAAGAATCCGCGTAAAGGTGGTTTCATCCGTACCCGAAACCCTGCAATTTGCAACTTGCTTTATTAATGGTCAGTCAAAACAGACAGTTATCATTGCCGCTTTAGATTTACGTGGGGAGATTAGAATTAAAATTCGCAGTACAACTTTTAATTTGCACCAGTATACATAACCTATTATCTGTTTTGTAATGGTTCTCTATGAGGAACACCGTAGTTCGCTTTAACATAGCTATTTGTTTGGTGTGGTTTATCATTTAGTGTAGATTATTTATTAGATTTTTGTCTAGTTTTCTTGGTTTTACTCTAGTTTGTCTTGGATTAGTTTTTATTTAATTATTTATGTTATTGTTTATTACGCTGCAAGGAAGTCCTAACACATATTTTATGTAAGGACATTCAAGCCTCCCTCTTAAATATTCAGAATCATCAATGCGATTACGTTTGGAGTTAAGTCAACTTACGCTTCACCGCCCTTGTAGAGCGCCTCACAGTCTTCGCGAAGTTGAGCATCGTCCACATCTTTTCCTCTTTTACCCTGGAGGAGGGCAACCAAAACCTTCTCGAAGTTACCGGCAGTATCATGTTTGACATCAGATTCCAAGTTCTTCCGATGAGCTGGGTTAATCGTAAGAGACAGTTTTCAGATGCCGTATTAACTTCAATGTTCATTTAACAACTTTGATTACGAAAAAGTTCATACCTGCTTACCATTTTCTTTTTCCTCGATAAGAACTTAAACGGACAGAAAAACTGAGTCAGTACAAGACAGCTACTACAATCTGAAAACCAAGTGTTGCAAAAGAGTAATCAACTGTTGAGTGTACTAAGAAGGATAGAAAGATCGACTCAGCACAAGATAGAAACTACTTTCTGGCGTTCATGCTTTACGCGAACGTTGCCAAAGATTACTCAAATAGAATTTTAGTATTGATTAGTTTGTAAATTAAGCTCAATGTATTTTAGTCGCCTCAGAGTGTCAGCTTGCATTCCAGCCCCATTCTGGGCAACTGCAAAGATTTACCGTTTAATAAACTGCTTATTTTAGTAGTATGCAGTGTTCTCCTTAGTTTTCGACATACTTGCAAACTTAAATGTATTTTCTAGAAAAAATGCACGAAAATATTCCGTCTGTGCTCGCTTGGTGGTTAATTGTGCCTTCTCCAAATTTTTTTCATTTAAGAAATAGTATCTTTTGGTTTCAAAGAAGGTTCCATATTGATGTATTACTTCTGTCTCTGGACAAGTCCACCCTTGTCTATGGTATGAGGGAGAGGTCACTTAGTTCGCATTAGATTGTGTCGTATACATACTGTATACATTAAAGGCAACATTAATGAATTAGCGGGTATGATTTATTATTCATAAAAATGTTACGGCCGTAAAAGGTCCCGTAATTATAAACTCTTCAAAAACCAAAAGATTCCCTTTCGTCAAGTGTAATATCCCAAGTAGGCAGCATTGGCTACCAACTGAATTCGCAAGACACTATCTTCGTGTTTGTTTTCTATAAAATTTATCTGGATTTCTAAGGGCATTACAAAGCAATAAAAAATGCATAATACATAATTGTCCATTGCTTTATAGAGCCTGCTTTTAGCACATGGTAAGAAAGAGGCTTGTATGAAAGCCAACATCCTACGGTGACTGAAACATGCTGGGATTTGGCTGTATTGTAATCAGTATTTTCGCCCTATCTTAATAATTTATTCAGATCAAAACAAACTCCAGAATATCGCTTGCATCTCAGTAGATATGGAATCTACTCTAAGAACAAATGGCATGAGCGAGTGGTCCTAGGAGAACAAAATGATAACGTATTAAGTTCAAAATCTTCAGCCTTTTGGTAACTGCTCTGCGTTTCCATAGTCATAGGGCCGGAGTATATTGGGCAAACTCACTATCACTGTAAGCCTTTTTCAGGGCTTCTATTTCCTCATTCGTGGATGTGCAGATGACGTCAATGAGGACTTGTTCATCGGTGCCCGCGCCCTTTACGGCCTTGTAGCAGGCCCTGGCATTTACGTGAGCCATGTCGTAGAAGGAGTAGAGAACGGCACGTTTGAAATGTCCTTTCAACTCGCTGTCCAAACGATCCTTGAGGTCCTTTTGGAGTTATGTTTAAAGGGCAGTGTTTTAAAGTGGAAAAAGTGCATAACTGCAAAAAAGATCACAGAAATCAACCTAACTTAAGGAGCCTCGTGTCTCATGGTTGGATTGTAATACTTATCATACCCTCGAGAAAATGTGCTTGATTGCGACTAACTTACCTTTCCATAGATTGATTTGTAAGTTGCAGCAATCTCTTGGCGTTGTTTAACA